TTTTTTTCGTTGGGAGGGAGCTTTTCTTATTCAAAACAGCCCCACAAAAGACTTCCAGTGAGCCTTGCCACATCCCCATCTGACTTGGGGCCATTCATCAGCCTTCCAAGCCTATCAATGACATGTCCCCATCAGGGCTCCTATAAAATCAGCCCCTTTCCCATGAAACATCAGCAAACATTTTGACGGGTCTGGCTTTCCCCCCGCTGGATTTCTGGAGTCTCTACCCCCCCGCCCCACACCCTCACCCCCTTCCTTTCCACCCTCATTCCCACCTCCCCTCCTCTCCTCCGCCAACACCACCCCTCTCTTGGGCGAACCTCAGATCCTCAACATCTCCTGTGACGGGCAGCGGTCACGGAAACACAGAGCTAGACGAGGGGAGAGCCACTGAGGAGGGAGAAACGTGCGCTAAGCCATTTTCTTGGAGGAGTCAGTGTCGTTGATGGGAAGAGGATGCATTGCGGGCTGCTGGAGGAGCCTGACATGGATTCCACAGGTCAGTCCTGTTAAACTCTGCCTGCCTTGGATATGTTGAGGAAACCCAGCTTCTATTCACATTGTATGAGTTTTCTGCTGCGCTTATGCAAGTCTGGAACTTTCTCTGCAGGGATTCAGGTGAACTGTCCGGATGCTCATTAGCTTTTTAAATTTCTGAAATTACTTACGAGGGAGTGTTTTCCACTCGCTTACGGGAAGATGCAGGAGACACTTGATTAGAGAAAAGCAGGAAATGGACCTTCAGTCTCCACAATTGGTTTCTTGCTGTTATTTTTTAAAGTCAAACTAGAGAACTTGTAATTATGAGAGCAGCATTTAAAAACACAAGTGTACATCACAGTGCACCTGCTTTTTAAAAAGGTTATTTTCTAGGTACAAAACTGCTAAAGCAAGACATTTTTTCAGCTTTGAAACAGGTTTTTACTAAGAATTTATCACCAAATTAATTTTCTTATGGTAAGAAACTGAGTTTCTTATGGTAAAACTGAGTCCTCTCGGCAATGTTAATGACAAATCTAATTATACACACTTTCAGGCAATTTGTTGTTTTTTTTTATGTGAGTCCTTAATTGTCATTTAGCATAGTTTTCAGGATGATGCAGTTTAGTCCCAAATGTGTGCTCATAAATGAGTGAACATCCATTTTCACTTGTTGATCAAATTTAATCCAATTATTTAGATCCCCAACTTATCTGTTCTTGTGGCAAATGAAGCTTGAGATCCGAGCCTCTGTGGAGAATTAGCTCCACTTCAGAAGATTCTCTTTTTCATTTCCAGGGTTTTTTTTAAGCTAGAGAAAGAAGCCAGTGCAGACGGGAACTGATGAGACACGATGAGGACCTGGAAATGATGTAATTTCTGTGTGATGCTATTTACCATCTGTCAGTGCTACAGTGTTAGAACACTGTTAAAGAGTAAGCTATAAATATTTACGTACCAAAAAATCTTTCTCCTCTGGAGTTTTTAGTTGTTTTTTTTTCTAGACAGGATTTTAAGAGCAGTCACTTTTTTTTTTTTTTTTCTAGACAGGACGTGCTGAAGATTGAAGTATCCACTCTTCATCGAATCTTAACTTTTAAAAGTTTTTATTATCTTCCTCGATGCCGTGCTCAGACAGCGCCAGCAGCTGGTGCTGTGAATGTTGTCACTTGCAAATGAAAAAAGGTTCAATAACTTTAATGTGGAGGGATTTCCATTTGTTGCAGAGCCTAAAAGTTTGGTTTAGTTTTGCATAAATATGTCGGTGACTTTTTCCTGATCACATCTTAGTTTTTATGCTTATAATTCAGATTCTCTGTTTACGACATGCAGTTTAGCTCTAAACTTCCTGGTAGAGAAAAAGCTGTAGCTTAAAATCGAAGCAATTTTTACACCGAATTAAAGTAAAAGAATTTTGTGAATGCCTCTCATAAAAATAGTTGAAGAATTCGATTTTTTTCCACTCTACTCGGCTGTTTCTATATGAAAGCCTTGGTGTTTTGCTGCTGCTCGCTCACAGAAAGCACACCAGTTGAGCTATTTCTAAGTAGAAATTAAAACAGGACAATGGCTTCTATTCCCCCAGACTGCTTCAGTAATGTGCACAGGCTCTTTTAAGCAAGTGTGTATGCTCGTAGTCTCCTGAGAACAATGCTGGATTCCTGCCGTCCTGGTGAAAACATGTCAAATAGAGCCAGGGCTGCGCTGCTGCCCATACAATCGATTGTTGTCAGCTCACCCTGTCACATTAGCGACATTTAAAGTGTCCTGTATAGCCAGTGATTTGCAGTGTTTATGCAAATACAGCTTTGGCTCTGTTCCACTGCAGGATGACATTAGTCACTTCACAAAAAGGGATTTTTAAATATGTGGGTTTTCTTTAGTTAAATTAAAAGTTAATTTAAAAAACAAAGAACAAAACTGAATGAAAATGTAAACTAAACATTTTTTTAAAACTTATTTGTCATTTTAAAATTTTTTAAAGTCGTTTCTAAGAGCTGATCTTTGGTCTTTTTTATAGAGAGCTGGATTGAAAGATGCCTTAATGAGAGTGAGAGTAAGCGATACTCCAGCCACACGTCTCTGGGGAACATGTCCAATGATGAACGTAAGCAGGACCGACTGTACTTGCACTGAATCCTCTGTCTGCACGTAGCTTTTAAACCTCAGAAAATGTCATTTAGCCAGAGAAGAAATGATAAGTGTATGTTTGTGCCACACTTCTGTCATTTTGCTGTAATTACTTAATTAAGCCCTACGTGTGCTGTTTATTCCAGATGAAGAAAAGGAAAATAACAGAGCCTCGAAACCACATTCGACACCGGCCACGCTGGAATGGTAAGTTATTAAAAAATGTTTTCTTTTATCATTTAAAGAGAAAAGCTGCAACATGTCAAAACTCAACAGCCTATTTAAAATATTAAATATATTCTCAAATTAATGTAAAACTGATGTAACCAGTCCTTTAAATCAGCCACTCACAAAAGAGTCTGTTTTATTCTTTTTAAAAATTAAATAATGTGCACATCAGAGCACTTTTTTTCATTGTTTTAATCCTGTGTTGTCTTCATCCTGCACATTCTGTTATTATTTTCAGTAAATTTGATTGATTTGGTTAATTTAAATTGTCTTAAATGTCACCCGTACACACAGATGATAAGTTTCTCTGCACATTTTAGGGAAATTTACTTTATATCTGCTAGGCAGCAACAAATAATTGCACCTGCAGCCTCAACATGCACCACAATTCATTCATATCATGTATATATGCATGGAATACCAACTCCAATTGTGACAAGTCTGTTTAAAATTAGAGAATTAAAAGAGAATAATTTTATACATCAAATATCCTGTAATAATAATGAACATTTTTTTTACTTTTCAAAGTGAGTCTCTTTTTATTTTGTGTCATAAGTAAATTGTTGATTTAAACAGAAGAAAATCAGTCTAAAACTGTTATAATATATACTGTATGCTGTATTAGGAAATTATCAGCAAATAGTTCTTATGCAGCTAAGTAGGTAGGGTGTTGAATCAAGAGTAAATCTGTCCAGCATTAGTTATGCTTGTATATTTGTAATTAAAGAACAATTTTTTAACCTAAAATAATATATTGGGTCACGTGACTGATCACAGTTTGATTGTCAGAAGACTTAAATGTAGCTGTTTTACCGAAAAGCAGTAAAAATGGATCCAATTCAAAAAACAGTTTCTAAGTAAATGAACATTTATCTTAGTTCTTACTCAGCTTCACTGAAACAGACAATCAGCCAATGCAGAGGTCTACATGCAGTACCCAGACACATACAGTACGGTTTGGCATATTACCCAGCATTAAAGTGCATTTAAGAGGTAATTATTTGGAGTAATAATTGAGGTCTCAGAAGCTTGGAAAACCATGGGAAACATTAATGTTTCAGGCTAATAATGAAACTTTTGTTCTGTAAATAATAATAAAAGTAATTGCAGCAGTTTCAGGATTTAACGTGTAGTTCAACCGTTTGAAAGATCAAATTTACTTGTACTTAATCAGTCTGTTGCGTCTTAATGGTGTTTTTTTTATACAAAGTGGAAATAGTGCTTTCTTCTTCTGATTGTTGTTAATGAGTTACAGACATCACATTTAAGCGATTTGTTTGACGGCTGCACCAAAAACAGGATTTCTTAGGGACAGTTTTTACAAACGTGAAAAAAAAATCAGGCTGACATTGTTACCGACATTCATACCACATTCATACCGCTCTTTTTGCTTAATTCCTGCGTCCTCTGTAAACACATAGAAGATTAGCAATTAAGTGCTAATCTTATTGGTTAATTTAAAAATCTTTTCTAGATTAAAGAGAATAATACAGGGGCTGTGAAAAATTCCACTGCAATATAAAAGTGAACTAAAAAAAGGTGAACTACAAACAGAAAACAATAAAAACTACTAATTGTGATGCTGGTGTACCTCAAGGCTTAGTTTTAGGTCGTTTTGTATTTATCGTATTACCTTTTCTTAAGTTGTTAGATTTACACAAATAATATGAGGGATGAAATGTAGAAATGCACATGAGTTGTGATGTGCATTTCTTAAAAATGAGTGACTCATTCAGATATTTGAGTTTGGAAAAGCAACGCTGAAGTATTGAAGTCATTGCTTTGTTGAGCCACTGGGGGCAGAATACTTGAAACCATCTCTGAAATGCTAATTACGTCAGAAGTGTTCATGTCTCCTGTGTTGGCAAACAGTTAAGAGCGCAAATGCTGCTTGTGTAAATAAGGGCAAATATTTCAATGTGAATCATTTAGAAATTATGACGCGCTCATTGTCGACGATCAAAGATTGATGAAATATGACGTCCAGTATTGGGAACACTGATAAACAGCTGTTCTGCTTTAATGTGAATTTGTCCACTGCAGCTGTTAGTGAGACGAGGTTGCAGGAAAAATGGATGTTGCAACTCCCGAGGGAGTAGCTGTTGTCTTTGTTGATGCGTTGTCATGTCTTGCATGACAACCCAATGCATGGCTGTTCCGTGAAACAGTTAGCTCTGCTGGGATGCAACAGACAGTTTGCTTTATAATAAACACTGCTACAGTGTTGTTACACTGGAAGTAAGATAATGATTACCATGATGTAGCTCTTTAATTTATATTGTGTCCTACTTCTTTCTTCTCATCTTTGAACTGTATTTGAGGCGGTACCCTAATGGCATATCTGCTTTAATCTGTCCTCTTAATAACATAAACTCTAACATCGTGCAGTTTAATATCAGATCACGGTAATTTTTAAACGCCCTGTTCGTCATAAAACCATACACGAGCTTCCAAATGTCCACCTGACATTTCCCCCTTTGTTATTCACAGGCTAGAAGAAAACTACGAGATAGCCGAAGGTGTGTGCATCCCCCGAAGTGCCCTCTATATGCATTACCTAGACTTCAGCGAAAAGCACGACACGCAGCCTGTGAACGCAGCCAGCTTTGGAAAGGTGAAATGCAAACTTGAGTAGTGATGAAGATCAGACAGTGTGGAGAGTCAACAGTCACATCTATTGTAGCTTTGGAGGAGTGTTTAATTTGTGAAATGCCTTTTCGCTATTATTACTACTTTCTTTTAGTTTTCAGTGTTTTTAATATTCAGGTACGAAGTTAAAACTTATAGCTGATGTTGCAGATGCACCACAAATCGAGGCGGTCTTCTGCTCAGTCAGCCGCGAGCGTTACGCTGGGGCCGTTGCACGCCTGGGTCGGTTTTTGTGCGGCTGTGTTGAAGTTATATCAGATCAAAACTCAGTGTGAAGCAAAGCTCTCGCTGAACACATAATCTAGAGCCAAAGGAGATGTGCTTTGGTCTGTTCCCACAACCCCAAGAAGTTCCTCAGCCTTCCTACCCCCAGCCATCCCCTGTACCCTGGACTCCAGCCCCAACCCCCAACCCGGGCCTACCCCCGCCCCTCCACAGCTCCTGTCGGAAGATATTGAAAAAGAGAAGGGGCCTGGATTAATGTGTAATTAAAGGAAATTTGGAAGGGTGAGATGTTGCGGAATGTTAGATCAGTGGCTGGAGCAGTGTGGGGTGTCCTTTAGGAAGGCTTCATTGATTCAGGACAAAAAAACGAGAGAGGGCCCGGACTGCCTCCCTGTCTGCTCATTTATCAAGCGGGGCCTGACAGAAACTTCACAGCTTGGCCTCTTTTTTCATCCCACACAATGGAGAGCTACACTGTTTGCTAAAGTTTCTGCACCAGGAGCTGGACCGAGGAGCCAATCTCTTTGGACAAAAAAAAAAAGAGAGAAAGAGAGAGGAAAGGTGGAAAGGAGGGAGTGGAAAAGGAAAAGAGGGAGAGAAGGAGTCAGGATGGGTGGGTGGAAAGATGCAGGGAGGCTGTAGATATGGGGGTAAGGGAGGGGGAGTAATACCCATGGATGTCATAAATACATAGACTCTGGAAGCTTTTCTTCTGCACGGCGCTCCCTGTGGATATGACTACAAGACCAACTTTATTAAACACTCTCTCACCAAGAGCTAAAAATGAAGTGCAGCGTATTCTGTTGACTTCTGCGTGCTGTAAAGCCATATTATACAATAATAACAAGTAAAATGCACACACCTGCTATAGAGGTGCTTGTCGCCTCTTTACACCATCTTTTCTTTTTCTTCTGGTTTTATCCAACGCAGACAAAAAAACACATAAATATTTTGAATCTATACTTGCTAACAGTATTTCTCTCACAATAAACAGATCATAAGGCAGCAGTTTCCAGCACTGACTACCAGACGACTGGGAACAAGAGGGCAGTCAAAGTAAGATGTTTCAGGGTTTTTATGTTAGAGAAGCTGAGTCAGTTCCTCAGCTTAAAAATATTTAAAAACCACATGTTTAGACTGCATTTTGTGCTTTGCTGACATCTTATGTTCCTGTAGTTTTCCTTTTTAAAAATTTTTTTTGTCATGTTCTTCCTACACTACAACCTGTAATGATTCGTTCACATGCTTTTTTTAATTAGTGGATATATTTATTTGTAAATTGTCTTTGAAAAGCAATATGAAAGAACTTATTGCTTTTCTGATAACGTACTTTTGGAAATATTCACCTAAAAAATAAAAAAACAAAAGACATGTATTCAAAAAGCAAAATTAAAATTAATCAATAAAAAAAAATTAAATCACACTTTGACTAGTATTATTATTATTATTATTATTATTTTGCAAATAACATATATTTTAAAAAAGACATTATAATTTTCAAACAATATTTTATTTTATTATATATCAGCCAAGTGATCCTCAAACGTCCTTGCCATTGATCTGTCCGTCGTCTCTGCTCCTCAGGTATCACTACTATGGAATAGCAGTGAAGGAGACCTCCCAGTATTATGATGTGATGTACTCCAAAAAGGGAGCGGCGTGGGTGAACGAGACGGGGAAGAAAGAGGCCACGAAGCAGACAGTGGCGTATTCACCGCGCTCCAAACTGGGGACGCTCCTGCCAGAGTTTCCAAATGTCAAAGACCTAAATTTGCCTGCCAGCCTGCCAGAAGAAAGGGTAAACAGGAGTTTTAAAAGTCCATCCTTCCAGCGCCCCCCTCTGCCCCCTCCTCCCTTCGCCGTTGCTTGCCATCTCACCAGCTCTGCGCCCCCTCTGGCTCTTTTATCTGCCCCGGGAGCTTCAGTGGGTTTGCGTTTAGAGAAGGACCTTGAGGATTTATATGCTGGCTCCTCTCTAACTCTTAATCTTTTGGGGAAGATAATAAGATCTAGCTGTGGACAAAAGGACAGGCACTAGCTGTCCGGCTTTTAAAGGGGGGCCATGATTTTAAATGGTTTGTGTTTTGCTGATCTCTAAAGCTCGTTTTATATTACTCCGCTCAAGCCTAGGCCTGTAACATCTATTTATTGGCTCCCATGCTTTGTTCAAGATTTATCTTCTTGTTTTTGCAGCATTTTTTTTCCCAAAGAGAAAAAAAAGCTATTAAGTTTGTTATGCAATTAGATTAATACCCTGCTGTTGCCCACAGGTGTCAACCTTCATCATGATGTACAGAACACACTGTCAGAGGATACTGGACACCGTTATTCGGGCCAACTTTGATGAGGCGAGTCCTTTTCTGTTTAAAATGACCACTTTAAAGTCTGTTTGAGCACATTCGGTGTTTGCCGCTTGTATGTTTGTAATATCACGTCGTGTGGAACGACCACAGGTCCAGAGCTTCCTGCTGCACTTCTGGCAGGGCATGCCGCCCCACATGCTTCCTGTCCTCGGCTCCCCCACGGTGGTGAACATCGTCGGTGTCTGTGACTCCATCCTCTACAAGGCCATCTCAGGGGTGCTGATGCCCACCGTCCTGCAAGCACTGCCTGATAGGTGAGAGTGTCCCTCTATTGCAGCTCAGAGTTCACAGTAATATCCTGATTTAACCTCTCTTTTTGTGGTTTTAATATCTTGTGCACAGCTTATGAAGCTACACTTTTACAGTGTGTGTCTTGTAGGGTCACGTCATTCCATCTCCGATGATTCGCAGGCACATCTTCAGTTTTAAAGTTATCAGCTGTTTGGAAACACAATTAATTTATTTACCGTGATGTGTAAAGGGCGGGGTGGCTCGTTTTCTAAAGCTTCAAAGTTTCAAGTAAAGTCTCATCTGGAAGACAAAACAAGAAAGACGTGCTGAAAAAATTAAATTTGAGTCTTTTGTGAAAAAACAAACTGAACAGTCTTACTGAGGATCAGTGCTCAATCCTGAGCTGCGAAATGGTTTTGAACTCATGGTCCGCTCTTTATGTTTCGTTTTTATGGCTCTAACAGTTAATTAGTTCTTATTAAATAAAATCACGTGTTTTGTCTCAGGTACTAAATGTGCTTCATTTTCTCCTCATCTGCACAGTTTAACTCAGGTCATTCGAAAATTTGCCAAACAGCTTGATGAGTGGCTTAAAATAGCACTTCATGACCTTCCAGAAAACCTGAGGAATATCAAATTTGAACGTAAGCATAAAATATGCCAAAGTGATTGTTTGCTTCTTAAGCACGTGTGGATTTTATAGGGTAACTTCTCAGGGATTTATTGTATTTTCTTCTCCTTTTGTATTTCAGTATCGAGGAGATTTTCTCAGATCCTAAAGCGGCAAACATCACTAAACCATCTATGTCAGGTGCCTATCGTGGTCTGAATGTTTTTAATAAAATCCATATGAAAGAACAAAGCTGATAAGGGATGTGGGTATGCTTAGATTTGTCATATTGTTGACTTATCTGTCCCAAGGCATCGCGGACTGTGATAAACAGCGCCGACATCACCTTTCAAATGCTAGAGGACTGGAGGAACGTGGACTTGAACAGCATCACCAAGCAGACACTTTACACCATGGAGGACTCGCAGGAGGAGCACAGGCAGCTTATTATCCACTGTAAGTCGCCCTGACTCACCCGGACGGGCACTTTACTATGACGTGAACGACTCGCCGGGGGACGGTCATTCCCACGGCCGGCAGAGTCAGAGCGTTAATGACGGAGAGCAAAAGGTTAAACAAGTTCAATCTGCTCTCAAACACCCTGCGGAGCATCTCCAATTCCCTGCACCCTCGCGCCTCTGCATTGGCCCGGAAGGGGTCAGAGGTCACACATACGTAGAAGCTGCTGTGTGAAGGTGAAGGTGCTGTTTGTGTTCTATGTAACGCTCCCTTCTCTCACAGTGTATCAGGAGTTTGATCGTCTGCTGGAGGAGCAGTCGCCGATCGAGGCTTACATCGAGTGGCTGGACTCGATGGTGGATCGCTGCGTCGTCAAGGTCAGACAGCTAACAGGCATTATCCCCTGTTTTTGTGTGGTTGTTTAGACACTTCAGTGTAAGCTGCACAGGTGAAAAGTGCATATTTTTTTATAATCCTCCCCTCACTGAGACACCTGTGGCTGAAAGCCCTCTTCCCTCTCTTCCCTGCAACTCTCCCTTAAACCGAGTCACTTAGGTTGCGATCCTCCCAGTTAATGATGTCTTCAAGCTTCCCATTTGCGTCCATTATGTGCCAGATATTGCCTTGTAAAATTTCCGTCTCCCCGGCAACGTCTTGGACTGCTCAGACAATAGTTCAATGGGAAGGCGTGTCCCCGGGGGCAAATTAAATAGTTGACTTGTTGACATGTTTTTCGTTCCTGAGGGTTAAGCCCCAATACGGACCCGGAGGTTAATTCTACCCCGGCGTCCCCACCCTTCCCCCCTCTTTTCTCATGGAAATGTTCTCTCTAGGTGGCGGGGAAGAGGCCCGGGAGCCTGAAGAAGGTGGCCCAGCAGTTCCTGCTTATGTGGTCGTGTTTTGGTACCAGAGTCATCCGGGATATGACCCTGCACAGCGCGCCCAGCTTCGGTGAGCTCCTCCTGCTTTTCATGCAACAGAAAACACACAGCGTTGACAGTCGTTTTATTTACTGTGTCATCCATGTAAACTGCTGAAAATAGCTCCGCTAATAATATCTTTAGTGAAATTTGAGGGGTTTTTTAAGTATAAGTTTAGACTTTCCTTCACTTGCTCATGATTTTCACATTTAAAAGCTAATATGAGCCAAATCAAATTGATATAAAGAGATGAAATGTCTCTTAATTGGGGCTAAATGCTCATTTAATGATTCCTCTGCTGGCTTAGCTTCGACTTTGAGACGGGGAGAGAGTAGGCACGAGTGAAATGGCTGCTGCTTTAACAGCTTACTGTTTGCGGTAAGCGACAAGCAGTAAAAATTAAAGAAAAGAAAATGGCTTTTCTCTCCCCTCCTCTATCCCTGTCTGTGAATATCAAAGACACAGCTGGTTGCAGTGTTTTGATAAAGCAGGTCTCTGTGCACAAACAGCTAATTAACAAAGGTCGCCCCTCCCCTCTCCCCGATGCGTTTGCCTGTCTTTTCCCATTTTATGACCGGTCAGTGTTACACCCGGCTCCCCTCAATGGCCACAAGTGTTTATTATGCACACGGCGGCGGCAGAAGCGGCTGGCACAATGACACAATTGTGACACTCCCTCACATGCTCATCTTTCGTGCGACCCCCGGGGTCAGCTGACATATTTCTGGCACTGACTCGGTACACGGAAACAAGCGCGCTCGCTCCTTTTTAATAACAGCGGCCCTCCTGTCATGCCTGCAGGATGTGATGTCATCATCTCAATGGTTGTAATCAGTTACATGCTGGACAGATGTTTGTTTGGTTTCAGCGACTCACTGGAACTGTGCCACTCTAACTCCAGATAAACGCTTCTGCTGTCTGATTGTGCTTTCTTGTATACGTCTGCAGGCTCCTTCCACCTGATCCACCTCATGTTTGACGACTATGTGCTTTACCTGCTGGAGTCCCTGCACTGCCAGGAGAGAGCCAACGACCTCATGAGGGCCATGAAAGGCGAGGGCAGCACAGGTGAGCGCTCCAGCTGTAGGTGCAGGTGGTAACCAGCAGCACAGCTGTTTGGTAAGGTGATTGGATGATCCATAACCCTTGATGGCAAAATTCTTCCTTCAGCTAAATGATAGAAAAGCTGAAGTTGGCTTACTTTCCTCCGGCACGTTTTTAATATACAGATCTCTGACTTTTAACAATCAGATCAGTGGTGTTTTAGTTTATGCCACACCTACATCACCTCTCAGTGATGCACCTCTGCAACTTCCTCTGTAAAGGATCGTCCAATTTCACTTTTCCTCGATTGCAGATGCTTCAAAACACAGTTGGTGCACATAAAAGACAGCACGTCGCTCCTGTTTTAGCTCAGTTTCTACCTCCGAAACACAGAGTTGATTTTAAATGGTTTTCATTTGGTTTTAAAGCCCTCCAGGTCGGGCCTTTGCTGTTCTTGTCCCCAGGCTCTGCAGTAGTCTGCCATCCCACATAAATCCTCTCCAACCAACGTTTTCATGATCTTTTATTGTTGTTTCTAATATCAGGTTTAAGTTACAGATGTTTAATTTTACACTATTTGATTTATTTCTCATATTTTGGTCATTAGTGTCATTTTTTTTACTTTACTATTGGAGACATGGAATATAAATGCACCTGCCTGGAAAACACTCTGGTTCTTTTAAATGTTCTACATAAATACAATTAACTTGAATTTAAAAAATCTGTTGAATATCTGTTATATGGAAAAAGAACTGTTTTATTTATTTATTATTCTTAACGTCCAGCTTAATTGATTTGTTTTATGTGAGAGCCACTTTTGGGTCATTTATTATGTATTATACTTTTTTTTAAACAAATGAGAATAAATTAATTTAACACTTGTTAGTCAACGCTCAACATTATTATCAAGTAATATAAGGAAGCTTGTTTTCACAACTGGGGAAAAAAAGAAATTGTTATCATCCATAAGTAAAAATTTCCATCCGTTATCTCAAAAATTTTGACTTATTCTCAAGTTTGACTCTAGAAGTTGAACTTGAAATTTTGACATAGCTTTGCCTGGAAACCTTAGACATACGTTTGCGCGTACCCAGGGAGATTTGCACCCTAAATGTTGTGGTGACTGTCCAGAAAAGCCTCCGAAACACCAGCAGAGGTAGTTTATTCTTACCTGTCCAGGAATTCACTGTTGTAAGGTGTTCCTGTTCATTTCTCTCAATTTTAAATGTTTTTTTAATCTTATATATTATAGAATAAAATGTATACACTTGTTTGCAGTGACCTTGTATTGATGAATCTTTTAGAATGAGCCTGTTTTCTGCCACACAAAAAGACTTTGTTGTCTAACTGCAGATTTGTTCTGGCTCTTTAACACAGCATCCCTCTTTGCATTAAACTGTCTAACCGCCTGTTTCCTCCCGACACCTTCAGCAGAGAGAGAGGAGGAATTTACGCTGACAGAAACCGCCCCCGCCTCGCCGTCTCCGGGATCCTACTCTCCCGCTCGGTCAGTCCACTCTGTGGGCGTCTCCTCGGCCAGCTCCCCCACAGCAGCCGTGTCCCCGGAGTACACCGGAGTACCTGCCACGACAGGTGAGACAGGACTCGCGTACAAAAAGCCCAGAATAAGCAGAGTTTAACGTAGTTCCTCTGCGCCAAAGCGTCTGTCTCTGTGTCCATATATGTGTCTACCAGGCGCTGTTCAGTCATATACCTGGTCCCTTACATACACAGTGACAACAGCAGGTGGAGCCGCTCCAGAGGCCGGGCAGCAGCTGTCCTGTATGAGGAGCAGCGCTCCCGTACCCCCTCCATCTTCTGCCCACAGGATGCCAGTCTACAGGGAGGAGCATGGGTGATTACAAAACTATTGATCATTGCAGTATTAAAATACATTCTCAATTTATTTTTTGGATTCATTATATTTACTAAATTTCGACTGTTTAACTCCATTTTAGGTACACTGGTAGCTACAACTATGGCAGTTACGCCAACCAGCATCCTCACTCCATCCAGAGCCAGTACCCGAGTTTGGCCCACGAGCCGACGATCCCAGCCCCGCTGCACTACTCCGCCTACCACCGTACATCTGCACAGGTCAGGCTCTGATGCTCAGGGATGGGGTGTGGTAGCAGATCAGATGAATTCAAATTGGTTTATTCAGGTTTTATATTAATTTAAGGACCTGTAAATGCTAAATAATAAAAGTATTAGGTTTTAATAATGAAAGAAAATAAATGAAACACTTGGGAAGACATTTGTTAGATTCCAAAGATTAAAAAAAAAACCTCTGACTGTTTGGATGATCTGAAATCCTGGATTGCATCTATGCAGTGATAGGACACTTTTAGACTTTCACAGCATGGAGGTAAAACTATGATTTAAACTGTATAAAGTAACTCAAGTAAAGTGGCTAAGTAAGTCATAAGTATCAGTATGAAAATACTGGGGTTTAATACCTTGTGTGATGCCTAACTGCTACTTAAACTTTATGCATTATATGAGGCTGATACTACGTGTTTAAAAAATATGTAGAATCTGATAAACTAAATGTGAGGATGAACTGACTGAGTTGTCCTTTTAGGGGAATAAATAGATTTAAATATGATGCTATTTTAAAAAAGAAAAAGAAAAAGAAAAGAAAGGTTATTAGAATGAGATTGAGCCGCTGATGTTACCGAGTGAGTTTTACTCTTTTGGTGGCAATTTCCTGCCTTTATAGAGGGAGGAGATCAGCTGGGCCTCAGCGCTCGCAGTGTTTCTAAAAGTCCCTGAATCACCCTCTCCACACAGCGGAAGCAGACAGTGAAAGGTGGCTCGGCCGGGGCCAAGAGGGGGCCTTGCTCTGTTACTTCTCTTTCCAGCTCTCAATAGTCTCTTCATCTGTCTGAGCCAGTGGCCACGGAGCAGGGCAAGGGGGCGTTTATTAAAATATTGTTATTCAATGGTCTCTTTTCTGCTTGTGAACAAGAGGCAGCTGAGCCGCCTGTTCTGCACTGACTGTCTTTTTCCATGCCGTGATCCCTCATAATGGCTTCGACTGTCGTGTTTATATTTAGTTAAAAAAAGGGGAAAGGGTCTACTTCCACATTTTTATTTTTTTTTTTAGCCCCGTCTGAGCTTAAATAGGGCACAATGCCTGCACTTTGTCACTGCGAGAGGTTGGACATGGAGCTGAAACGGTCTGAAAACTTTGCCGGATCCCCATCTGTCCAAAATATTTTTGTCAACAGGCAGATTTGGTCTGTTTGAGGTCAGTCACCACAGGCAACAGATCACACACATGCACGCACACACAAGGAGGGAGAGAGAAAAAGCACTTTTTTGGGTGAAACCCTCATTTTCTTAAGTGGCTTAATTTTCTATTTTGACCACTGTGCCACAACTTGTGAAGCAATTTCCCATGACAGGAAATTACCAGCGGCAGGGTCAGTTCAAACCCAATATTTTATGCTTAATACAGCATCAAATGAGATATCGGCCGGGTCGTGGTCACCTTTCAGGACCACGAGACCTGTGGAAAAGGGAATTTTAAGGTTCGTATCACTCTGGCAGCGCAAAGAGGGCAGCATTTAAATGACTTGCTGTCAGGAAGAGAGTTAGATCAGGTATCCTAACATAAAGGATGGAAAAAGATAAAATCCACGCAACAGCTCCTCTAAAGCTCGCCATCACTTGGGGTTGACTGATATAGTTTACCAGTTAGAAGATTGGTGGTCTTCTTCGGGCCTTGGACAAGATACCAAACCCTGAGTTGCCCCTGATGGTTCCAGCGAAGAGTGACTAACTAGAAAAAAGCACTTTGAATAGCAGTCAAAGCCGAACAGCACCATAGAAGTACTGCTCCATCTTCTACTTAACTTATCCCCCTCCTTTTCCTCTCCACAGTACCAGCTCAACAGCCAGATGTCCCGAATGGAGCCGTGCCTGATGGGCAGCACTCCTCGGTTGCACCCCACGCCTGTTGCCCCCCGGTGGCCAGATGTGTCACCAGGTAACAGCTGTTACACCAGTCCGCCTATGCATTCGTCCCGCTATGCCACCTCTGGGGATATGTACTCACCTCTGGGCCCACGCAGGAACTCAGAGTACGAACACTCGCAACATTTCCCCGGCTTTGCCTACATCAACGGGGAGGCCACCACCGGCTGGGCCAAATAGCCTTAAATCTGAGAGCTGTGAACACTTTCCAATCAAGCGCATGAAAATAAAAAAGGGAACGGAGAGTAAAATGCGCCAGCGTAAGGTAAAACGAATCACGGCGTGGATGTTCTGACAATTTTAAAACACGCATTACATCAATCACATCCAATGATTGGCTGCAACTTGTGGGGAGGTTTATTAAAGCTTCTTCAGCAGTCGACAGAAGAAAAACAAAATAAGATTGCAGCAAAATCATTATGAGAGTGCAATGCTGCTGCCAAGCTGTGCCTTCGATTTAAGGAATGTACACCTCTGCCAGAGTTCCCCTCATCCACGAGGTCGGGCGCACACGCGGTCCCACCAACCCGCCCGCCCCTCCGTCAGTGATGTCCAGCGACTGACGGCTCTGCGTGCTCTAAGCTGTACAATCTCAGTCTCCTCTTGTTGCTCAGCAGTATCCTGTCGTGAGCCCTCTGCAGCAGATGCTTGCACTGCAGCTCGATGATGATGATGATGATGGACTGCACTGCCTTAACATTCTCCTGGGATACTTAACATCACAGGTGACCGATACAAACTCAAGAAAGACCTTGATGGGTGTGTTAAGGTTTCTTCATCTTGGATACTTTTTTAAAAAAATGATGAACAATGTGACTTAGAAAGAAAAAAAGTGTATTCTGTCGCAAGCCTTTTTGCTGTTTTTCTGTGACTATATATCTATACACACACACACACAAACACACACATATATATAAATATATATATAGTATGTATTTTCTGTAACTTTGTAACATGGTGTATCCTTTATTTTCTATGTTACAATTGGTACTTTGTTCTCTGTTTTGTATCGCTAGTAAAGACGCATTAACCTAGGGTTGTGTGTTCTATATAATGCACTCAAAGCTACTGAGGACCTATTACCCTATGGGTATTTATAAAAAGGGAAAAATATCAAAGTGTACAGTAACATGAAGTCTAGTCACTTTTCTGTAAATAAAAGCACTGGAAACCATCCGTGGTGACTGTTAGACTATCACAGTTAAAACTGGTGTGTATGTGTGAAATATGTTGACACATAAATTTAAAACCGTGAGACATTCTTGTCAAATGTCTTCTTCTTCTTTTTTTTTAATCTCTTTTTTTCTGGAGGGAAGGGGGGTGGGGGTGTCAATGCATTGTGGTGCCTACTGAACGATCACAGCATCAGCGCTGGAGTAAAGTCTCGAGTTTGCCTCTTTCTAAACTGTTTTACATCGTATTCATTTAAATTAAATCATCTCCTGCCCAAATACATTAATCTTGTAACTGCTATTGTGTTGTTTTTGAAATTCCCTCATTCCTCTTTATCCATATGTCACATTTCTAATCCGTGTGCTGCTGCAGAAGTAGAAATGTTTCCTGAATTGGATTTTCCTTCTCGCTGTCCATGCACCGACACAGTGGGGGGCTGGGCGAGTAGCAGAAAGGCCACACTGCAGAATGGGTTACATTTCTAAGGACTGAATGTCCCTGCTGTGCTGGGGTCATTGCACTTCAGTCCCGTAACCTTTGACCTCTGACCCCTGTCCAGTTTGTATTTATTAGGGCGTAGATCCTCTGTGTTATATCTGATTCCCAACAAGAAACTTTGAATAAAGAAAACTTCTTTAAAGACACAAAAACAAAAACCACCAAATATAAATATATAAATATATATATATATCATCGATTTAATCAGCTGACCTGAGTGTCAATATCAATATCCGCTGGAAATTTCAGACTGAGATCTGCGATCCTATCAGCTGTGAGAAATGTGCTGCCACAGGAGGTTTCATCTTTGATATCACCAAAGCACCACTTACACAGTTATTATAGCAACCACATCCCGTTTTGTTTTTAGAAATACATGAAAATTAGTTCCTTGCATAAACCACATTAGACTTCTTGTGCAGTCCAACAGTTTGTGCGAAACTCAATCGGGAATACTGTATTATAATTAGAAAAAAACAGCTAATGAGGAGAGAAAACATTGAGTCTATGGAGCCGATGCTGGAGACAAGGCATGCTTTAAACTGAGGTGCACAGTCTCAAAGCAACACAGACTACACATAATAATAATGAAATATAATTTTAAAAAGTGAAACAAACACAGTTGCCAGGCACTTTACTGAGTACGCCTGTTCAACTGCTTGTTAAATGCCTGGTTGTTGGTGCCAGAAAGCGCTGGTAAGAGTATTTCAGAAACAGATTATCTGCTGGGAAAACCACACAACCATCTCTTAGGTGTGGAGAAAATGGTCCAAAAGTTTGAAAATAACGATCAGCAGTTCTCTGAGTGAAAATGTTTTGATTGCATCAGAGGTCAGACTGCTTCAAGTTACATGAAAGCAACAGTTACTCAAATAAACACTCTTTTAAATCAGGGTATGCAGAAAAGCATCTTCAGCATACGAGGGGCGACATCAGCAGAAGACCACTGATGCCACTCCTGTAAGCTACAAACAGGAAACTGAGACTACAGATGACATGGGCTCACAAAATTTGGATGATAGAGGACTGAAAAAAAATGTTGGCTCATCTGATGAGTCTTGATTTCTGCAGCAAAATATGGATGGTAGCATCAGACTTTGGTGTATTCAACATGAAAGCATGGATCTATCCTGCCTTGGATCAGTGTTTCGGGTAGCTGGCGATGTAATGGTGTAAGGCACACTTTAGACCCTTTAGTGCCAGCTATCATATGTGGGTATTGTCACTTATCCGCTATGACCACAGTCTATCTATTGATGTTACAGTTAGACCTAAAATTAAAATAAAATAACTGAGATGACTTTGTGAACTGAAAAAACATTTTAAAAATTAATTGATTACAACCCTGATGCGGTACTGATGAACATGTTTCACTGATGAGCAGTGAAACCAATAAAATTAATCTAAAACAAGAAAAACTACTCTGGAAACTAAAATTAATAATATCAAAACCTGAAAATGACCAAAACGAGAACGAATTTTTCCTCGTTATTATTTCGATGAGAGAAAACATGACTTGAAATAAAATGTCAGAGACAGAGTCCGGTTTTATGGGGGTTTATTGGTCAGCAAACTGATATTTTTCCAGATCCGACACACTTTGATTGATCAAAATTTGTTTTCACAAATTCCAAATGAATTTAAGAATTTCACGTTTTTTTGTTTTGTTTTGTTTTTTAGGTTTTTTTTTTAGTTTTTCCAGTTTTCTAAATGTTTATTAAAGTTACTTGGATTCATTCATTCTACACGTCTTTGTTTATACGCAAAATACACGTCATGTATCCTGCCAGATAAACTGCGGCTCTTCCTATGACACATTTTGCCATCATCGGACTGTTTACTGGAATATGTGAATAGATAAAGTGGGAGCAGGTCTCTGCTGCAGCTGATGGAGGCAGTCAGGGGAGTTTCCCTGTTGACAGTAGCAGCCCTGAAACAAGTTAGCCTGTCATCCATCCAGCTAGCTGTAGCTGTGGCTGCACATCACTCACCGGTAACTCTCCGAGCTTTTCAGGTAGCCCCCATGGATCTGAATAATATTTTATCTCAGCTTGAAACTGCCAGCGAAGAGGACATCGAGAAGCTCTTGCAGCAGTATAATGTAGAGGTGAGTCGCGCGTTTGCTCGTTTTTCTTCAACCAAAACAAACGCCCGTGCTAATGTTAGCTAGCCACCTAGCCAGACAGCTAGCTCTGGGTGACATGAACATCTTTCTGGGCTGCTGAGCCGAAATGTTTGGCTCCGTGAAATGAAACCTGGTTTCGCATTAGCAGAGAAAAAAGAACACACACATTGAGCGAAGCAAAAGTATGCAATATGGCCTTATTTACAGCGCAAAGAGTAGAGCTAAAAATGCTAATCATGCCTGCTAATCATGCATCATTCGTGAAAACTTTGCATGTTTCTCTGAGGTTTCCAACTTTAAATCCGTTTCATAGCTTCTAATATGTGATAGTGCACGCTTGACACGAGTCGATCTTGTTTGCTGTCGACACTGAGCATCCTTTCTGTTGCAGAACACCCAAACCTTCAGTTTTGACCCAAAGGAGGAAACCCTGCGGAGTGTGAGTACCATCTAGCCCAGCAGCTTCTTATTACATGAAATGTGTGATAGTGACTGTGTGTGTGTGTCTCTGTGCGTCCTTGCAGAAGCTGTGCCACGGTGTGCTCACAGTCCTCGGGAGACAGGTGCAGCCCAGCTGTCAGAAGACATGCTTGGAGACCCTCCGCATCATGTCCAGAGATAAGCGTGTCCTGGGTCCTGTAGCCACCAAGGAAGGCATGTTGACCCTGGCAGGGATGGCGAGGCTGCGGGCTGGAGAGGAACAGGATGCTGACAAGAAAAGCTCTCAGGAACAGACACTGTCAGAGGAGAACAAGAGGGTGGTGGTGGAGGCCCTAAAGTGCCTTTGCAACGTTGTATATAACAGCCCTGCGGCTCAGCAGGTCTGCGTGGATGTGCAGCTGGTTCGTGGTCTGTGTGCCAGCCTGGCCACGGCCCGTACGTGGTCCCATGAGGTGGGCCTGTTCACACTGCGCCTTCTCTTCCTGCTGTCTGCCCTCCAACCTGCCGTGAGGGGGCTTTTGAGGAGAGAGTGGCATGCTGTTAGACTGCTGACAGAGGTGTTGGAGCACACGCTGGATGTGCGCTGGGTTGGTCCGTATGAAGCTGCCCGTCCAGATCCGCAAGCCGTGTCCATGCCTGCAGAGAATAACGAGCGAGCGATGGAAGCACTCAAAGCCATGTTCAACCTCACACTGTCTGAAACTGGTGGTGAGGTGAGTATGCGGTGGTTATACAAAACAATGTTACAGTAAAGGCTCACTCGGTGCTAATCGTTTGTGACTAATTGCACTACAGTCTTAATCTGAACTACAAAGATCATATATGCTGTTCCCAAGAGCAGCCAAATTGCATCTGTCATGAACTGCTGGTTCTCAGGAAGTCGCTCTTCCTCTCAGTGATTTACTGTGAGTGTGTAACCACATTAACTCAGCCTGAGTAAAAAAAAAAAAAAAAAATCAGTAAGAATGGCTTTTATGCAAAGCTCCTCTGGTAGCTTTGCATGATTCTCAGTCAGAATAATCCTTATTTATCTCAGGTGCAGCACTACAACAGAGAATGTGTTCATTCACTGTGTGAAACAAGCTGCCCCTCCGTTATGCCTGATTTAGACCTTTGCAGGAAATCTATACCATAACTTAAGAAGTAACTGGAAACCCCTTTTAACCCAGTGCTATTGGCCAGTTAAGCCCCGTCGAATCCTCCTGTGCATTCCCAGCTTATTTTTGCCACAGTTTTTGACATTATCAATGAGCGAATAACGGTCATCAACTCGGTATAAGCAATAATAATCATAGCATAAATATAATTACTCACAAAGTTTAGCAGATTCCTGTAAGGAGACTACGAAACTATAAAAAAGGATGTGAGGGAATATGCGAAGAAGTGGAAAAACCTGAAGGATAAATGTGTTTGCCTCTGTAAAAAAATCTCCCCAAAAACTGATCACAGCTATGAAACATTGTTACCTGATCACAGTCTAAAACGGCCCTTAAAGACCATAGTTCTAAAATTGCACAGCAATGTTAAGTCAATATGTTTTCTGATGATTTTGCCCTGACCTTCAAATAAAATTGAGCTGGAATAATATTATATATTAAAGATGTTAACGCCTGATAAAAATCTTATTGGCTTTAAAAGTGAAGCCTATCAGAAAAAGTTTGAGGCTGCCACTTTGACCATCATTAAGGAAAATTTGTCCTGCTGTGTTTAGACCAGTGTGAAGTTAGGCTCATTGCTCCTTTATTACAAAATCAGTAAGTCCTTCCACCCACACACACACAGGCCACTCAGTATGAACATGACTTGAAAAAAGGATGATACTTGGTACACATGCTTTTCATTCATGATGTACTTATTGTATGATAATTTTTGCATCTGATTCACTGTCAAACTTGATCGTCTTGTCTGAGGAGGCATTTCAAAGGAGAAACGCGACTGCAAAGGCAGCACCTGAGGCAGTGTAAGTCCTG